ATGAGGCAAAAAATCAACAAGCAACACTCCGTATCTGTCCCAAAACACCGTGCACATGATTTTCTGAGCAGAAATTGTTTGCTTGAACTTGACTTTCCTTGGAGATGATGAATGTCGCCATTCCATGGATTGTTGCTTTGATTCCGGTGTAACGTAGGCTACCCACGTTTCATCGCCTGTAACAATACGACTTAAAAAATCATCTCCTTCGTCACTGTAGCGCTCAAGAAAAGTCAATGCACTGGCCAAACGTTTGGTTTTGTGCTCCTCCGTCAACATTTTCGGCACCCAACGGGAACACAACTTCCGATAATTTAATCGTCCGGTCACAATTTCATAGAGAACACTTCTTGAAACTGCAGGAAACTCTTTAGATAAAGATGAAATCGTGAATCGTCTGTTCTCTTTCACTCTACAGTCCACTTTTTCAATCAAATCGTCGATAATGACTGAAGGTCGCCCACTTCGTTCCTCATCGTGAATGTTTGTGCGGCCATTACTAAAGGCCCTAACCCATTTTCGTACCATTCCTTCACTCATAACGCTTTCACCATAAACTTCACTGATTTGGCGATGAATTTCAGCCGCTTTCGAGCCTTTAGCACTGAGAAAACGAATAACGGCACGCACTTCGCAGTCGGCGGGATTCTCAATGAGCGGCGGCATTTCAATAACACACAAACAACAGTAAACAGAATCGACTGGCTCCGTAATGGCGTTTGTGGCTTCCCAACAGATGTAGGTACACAGCGCGCATGCGCTAAGTGCCGACTGCAGCGCTCCAGCGGCGTTATATTAAAACGGTACTTACTTTAAAAACACGCCTCGTACATAAGCTGTTATATTTTAATTATATTTAAGAATACATATGCTAGAGGCAAATGTGGAGATTACAAATGTCTAATGTCCTTTCCACATCTGGATCGAAATATTCACTGATGACCAAAAAGATAAATTAATGATTGATCAGATAATGATTCAATTATGGCATACGTCACAACTCCCGAAAATTAAAGACTCATTAGTAGTGGAGCAGCTGAATGACTTCTAATGACTCCTAATAAGCACATGGTTAAAAGTTCAATTTTTTTTTTCCTATACATTGAAGTTGACAAATTTAATATCTAAACTTAAAAAATATCTAAAATTATCTAGACTGAAATAAAAATAATCTAGATTAACATTCATTATCTAAATCTGTATTTTAAACATCTAGATCAACAAAAATACAGTAATCTAGAACTAGATGAAAAATATCTATGGGTGCGTTCTTTTATTCCTCCGCGTAACTCCGCGCGAGCGACATCCGTTTAAAAATGCCTGCGGAACGCGTTCCTAAATTCTGGTTGGACTGCGCCGTCGAACGGCAAAAACGGCCGCTTGTAGCAGTAGTTTGCGGTGGAAAGCAACATGGCGTCCTCCATGGCTCAGATAGTTTCGTTTCGGGGTCAATTATGTGGTTTTTATGAATAAAAATTTAGAAGTTGTGAAAGCGCAAGTTAGTGCACGCGGTGATGTAAGTGTCTTTTCGAATTTTTTCGGATATTAGCCGGCATTCTAATTTTTTCGTGGCTATTTTGAATGATCTTTCAACAAATAATCCATTTTATGGTTAAATTTTACAATTGGGATTCTTCTTTTGCCTTTAAAAGCTCATATTTTAGAATTATAGATTCCTCAATCACGATACTATCTACAGTGCGGGCGCCGCCATCTTTCTTTCTTTCACCGTTGTTCCTAAATGCCTACAAACAGCGGCGCACTCCCGTAGTAGCAGAGACGCAGAGCGACCGCTATTAACGCACCCTATTTTGGCAACACTGCTGCTTTAGTGCCCAAGAGGGCGCTAAAAGAACTTTTTGAATTAAAAAAAATATCACTACGCGTTATATTCACTTTATTAAAGTTTTCATTATTAAATGTAAACGCATAGTCCGTAATAATATAACATAATGAAACTAAAATAGTTTTNTTCATATAACACGGAACGTATCTACCGTGTTATACGGGAGTCTACTGTATCCACCTGTTATATGAAATATTTTATTTTCGTAATATCTGGAGTAAAAAAATAAGAAAGATGCAAATATCGTAGTCTTAATTATGGCAGAACGATCGATATTAAAATTATTCAATTAAACTATAATTTGTTTTTCCATTTGAAATACATGTTTTTATATCTGGATACCTGAAATTTCATATTAATTGATTTCTTCGAACTTATAAAACGATGGTATTAAAAACCATGTTTGTAACATTAAACGTATTTTAATATACGGTTTGGCGAATATAAAAATTCTTTATTAAAGTTTGTTCGGACCAGCAGGCAATATTTTCTTTTATTTTATTTCTATATTATTTCTATTATCATCTATATTATCTCTCAAACACTGTGTGGTGGTTGATGCACCACTTGAGTGTTCGTTGATTTATAAAATAACCGAAGCTTTATATCTCACCATGAAAATTTATTTACAATCACGTATAAGATTTTGTTTTACACTTATTGAGTAAAGCTCTATCGGTTACAAGCTTGCGTCGGTACAGAACATTCACTTGTCATGAGTAGGGTAGCCAAGAGAGAGAAGAAGAATATGGCGGACAAACAGCACATGTTTTAATAGCATCATCTGGATTTTCAGATGCAGCGCTAGGTTACAATTATTCGGCCGCCACACACTGTTTAAAACGAGCACAAAGGATACTTTTCATAATGTTTGTACATTTTATACGATGCATTCTCATACTTGAAACTGTCTTGCTGTCATTAATATTGGCCTTGTACATGTCAACTAAGTGATCACAGTTTTAAATGGCACAATGGCAGCTCATAAACGTAGCTCTTTAAGTTCGGATGATTCATTATTATACCGCATGTTACAGANGGGATTCTCAATGAGCGGCGGCATTTCAATAACACACAAACAACAGTAAACAGAATCGACTGGCTCCGTAATGGCGTTTGTGGCTTCCCAACAGATGTAGGTACACAGCGCGCATGCGCTAAGTGCCGACTGCAGCGCTCCAGCGGCGTTATATTAAAACGGTACTTACTTTAAAAACACGCCTCGTACATAAGCTGTTATATTTTAATTATATTTAAGAATACATATGCTAGAGGCAAATGTGGAGATTACAAATGTCTAATGTCCTTTCCACATCTGGATCGAAATATTCACTGATGACCGAAAAGATAAATTAATGATTGATCAGATAATGATTCAATTATGGCATACGTCACAACTCCCGAAAATTAAAGACTCATTAGTAGTGGAGCAGCTGAATGACTTCTAATGACTCCTAATAAGCACATGGTTAAAAGTTCAATTTTTTTTTCCTATACATTGAAGTTGACAAATTTAATATCTAAACTTAAAAAATATCTAAAATTATCTAGACTGAAATAAAAATAATCTAGATTAACATTCATTATCTAAATCTGTATTTTAAACATCTAGATCAACAAAAATACAGTAATCTAGAACTAGATGAAAAATATCTATTTTGGCAACATTGCTGCTTTAGTGCCCAAGAGGGCGCTAAAAGAACTTTTTGAATTAAAAAAAATATCACTACGCGTTATATTCACTTTATTAAAGTTTTCATTATTAAATGTAAACGCATAGTCCGTAATAATATAACATAATGAAACTAAAATAGTTTTTAAATGATATAATTAAAAAACATTTTAATTTTATTTTATGTTTACGGTATGGCAACACTTTTTAAAAGTGCCATCCGGTGCCCTAGTCGATATTTTGAAAGCTCGAGACGTTCTGTTATACGTCGTTACATTGGCTACCGCCGTTGGATTGTATTGCAGAATTGAATACGTAGCATGAAATTTCTATAAAAATGTTTCGTACCAAAAAAGATGTCGATAAACACGTTGCAGACATCTTAAGCAAAATCAATAACGAAAATGAGGTGAGTTACGTATTGTAATGCCGCGAATAGAAGCTCATTCTGGATAAAAATCACGAACATTCATTGCTTCGCTCTAAACATCCAAAGTTTTGATTTCCAACACGAAATTTTCATTAAATATCATATATTAAAACGCAAATTACTTATATAAGACTTTAAATATCGTGTTAATTATTTGGCAGAAACAAAACTTGAATTTGTAAACTGATCGCCCTATAACGTGATTTGCCACAATTTATTTTTTTTAAGCGAAAGGAATTCTTTAATTTCGAAGTTTTTAAATAAAATTTACCAAAATTTTAATCCATTTAATTTGAAATAACTTTATCTTAATATATTTTTATATTGAATAATTAAGAAGTGTATATATAAATGCTGGGCCAAATAAAAGTCTTGATTTTGTTATTCTCTTTGGTTCTAGATCAGTGATTTTTCAAAGTACGATCTGAGGTCCGTCGGCATGTGTTAGGTGTTCTGCAGACTGACCGAATGATTTATCCAAAATGAAATTCTACACTATTTAGTCAGATATAAGAACGTTTTTGTGCATTGTGTCTGGCAGTTTATTGGATAGACCTTTGGCACAGATTGGGTGCCAAAGGTCTGGCAGGTCGAGAACTACTTCTGTTACTTAAGGCAGTGGTTTTCGATCTTTCTGGGGTAGAATGCCATCTGTACATTATTTGTTACATGGAACATTAGCGTCAATATATTCAAAAATTGATGAGCAGTTCCCATGTTTACTATTATGACAAAACAATAAAGCAATATACTAATAAACTTTATTGTATTGAATGAAATAGAAATGTGGAATTGCGTACAAATAAAGTACTAAGTCGTAGTATACTGCAACATATTTTTAATAAAAAGTTTAAACCCCCTTTTTTTTTAAACACTTGAGGCAGGTTTGAGGAACACCGGTTAAGAATCATTGATCTAAGATGTGTATGGGAGTCATTGCTGGTCTGTGGTTCATCTGTGACTGTTTGTGGTCCATGGATTGATAACTTTAAGAACCACTGTTCTAGATCATCTGCTTACTCTTGTGATATTAAATTACAAAATTCTATTCAGATTATTTCCATAAATATATATTATTATGATTTTGATATCGGCTTTCAAATAGAGTTAATCAATTGAAAGAAGTGACAATTCATAAGCTCGAATTCCATCAGATTTATTTCAATAAAAATTACTTGATTTCAAACTTAAAAGCATTAAATTTTACTTTTAAATAGATTTAAATATAAATAAATTCATCAAATTACAAATATAGAATAATTATTGACTGATTTGAACAGTTTTAATGTCAAATAAGTCTTGATTAAATCTGATCTCTGAATAAATTTAAACCTTGTTCCTTTTGGTGATATTAAATTATAAAAAATAAACATTATTTCTGTTGATTTAATTTTATTGTTAACATTTTAGTACATTAAAATCTATTGAAAAAAAAATCTGAATATTAAATATAGGTCTAAATATTATTACTAATCTTTTATAATATATGGATATAGCCTTTGATGTTTTATAGTTCTAATAAATAAATTCCAGTAATTTAAAGTTTAATTCTTAATATTTCATCAAACTTTAAATTAAAAACATTTTTAGTTTTAGCTAATTAAAAGAATGTTTCATCAAACAGTATATAGTTGACTTGTAATTGAATGTTCTCTTGTCAGATTTTTTCTTTTTCTTAATCTTTGAAGTTAAATGAATGATATTTAAGTTACCAATTGGCACTGCTTTCAATGCAGCTTATACATTATGTTCCAAGGCAGTACCATTGTATAGCAAAGGTTGGTATATGATTTCACAACTCAAAATCAAACAAACATGGAAATATATTGTCTACTACGATTGTTCATTCTAACTACAGTAATTATAATTTTCATTATTTTAGTCTTTATATGAAAGATGTTTTCTATTTCCTGATTGAAAAAAAAAAAAAAAATACAAAACATTTGTAATCAAGAGAGATATATCATTTATGCAGATGTGTTTGAAATTGTGAGGAAGGATACAAATGCCATAAAAACATTTTTATTAATGCTCAAAATCAAAGCTTATTAAAAAAATGTGTCAATAATAATTAAAATTAAATTTACTTTCAGAAAATAATTATTTATATATTATCAAAATAGGTTATTTCTTATATATGCATATAACTGGAATTTACAAGTTTTTTAATGTATTTTTTTAAACTGCATATAACACAATTATAATTTTCTGAATCATAAGTCAAGGTTGGTTATACTCTTTCAAAAACTGTAAATCAAAACCTGTTACATTTAACATATTAATTTTTAGCTATAATAATACTTTTTCTGATAATAGAAATATCATTTTCCTGATATTTTTAGAAATACTTCTGATATAATAGAAACTCCATATTTTCAAGATTACATTCTGTAAAACTGCTGAATATCCATCAATTTTTATCACAGTCCAAATTTTTGGTTTTGAACTTATGGCAATCTTATTTTGACATAAGTCAATTAAATTATCAATTTATAATGGAAAAATGCAACCATAGGAAATATTAAAATCATTGTGCTTATTTGCTCAGAATGAGGAGTCAGGAGGAGAGGAAATATCTTGGGAAATGATAGTATAGGTCATTGTAAGCAAAAAACTTGTATATGAACATGGGTATTATTCTTGGTAACTTTGGAGATATAGCTATATGAAAGTTGCTCAAATACAACAATAATAATGAATGACACATGTGAACATTCAAAACAAATGCTCAAAAATTGAATTCTGAACTTTAATACATTTTACAATTGAGTCAACTGAACTTTATATTGCTTTGATTTACATCCCTATCACTATCAGTATGTCAAAAATCTGTTTTTGGGAGAATTAAATTTTGTCAACAACATGTGATGTTTGGACATGAGTTGTAAAGTGTATTGAGATTCAGGGTTCAAGTTTTGAGCATTTGTTTTGAATGTAACACATGTCATTCATTGTTGTTGTTGTTGTATGTGAGTGAATTTCATACAGCTGTATTGCCAAACTATTGAGAATAATACCCATGTTCATATAAAGTTTATTGCTTATCTATACTATCATTTCCCAAGATAATTCTCTCTCATCCTGACTCACCCTGTATAATCCACATTCTACATTAAAAAAAAAGATGTTGATAAACATTATTTTAAATCGGTCAAGAAACTTGGACAGAAATAGTTTATGATAATTGACTGTACTAAGTGGTTAGAAAATTATCACTGTACATTATTCAAATGAAATTGCCCAGTGTTTGTTATGACATATCAATTGGACACTGAACAAGACCCACAGAAATAAGCAGTTTGGTTGAATAGTTAAAACTAGAAGAAGGCTACATAAAACTAAAATTAAAAAAATTGAAATTTTATAAGATATTTTTAAAAATACTTGACAGTAATTTGTTTTTAATTGTATAATTAGATGATTATTCAGTTCCAATTAATTGTTCTCATTAATTGGCTATCTTGATAATCATTCCATTGTTAATAAAATGCAATGCTGGCATTTGCAATATGTACAAATAGGCTATAAGACATTGTGTATTATCCATATAAGTACGTATGCTAAAATAATGTGAGAAATTACAAGATATTAGTCACCACTGCATGGCAATCATGTGAATTGCATTAGAATGTTATTAAGATAACATTAGAATTCATTTAATTATCTCTCTATTTAACTCTGAGACTATATTCTATATTGTAACCTTTTTAAAATTTTTAGAATAGTTATAATTTTTTTAACAATTTTCTCTAATTGTTGTTTCATTATTGTTATCATCAGTCCTCCTACAAATAAATGGATTTTAGCTTTGTGAATATGAAAAATGATTGCAAATACAAATCTATGAATATAGAGTTTCTACTGTTTGAATATTTAAAAGCTAAATATAACCATAGTTTTATGGAAAGATATTTATATATTTAAAATAATTGATGTTATTTTATTGAATTGTATAATCATATTGAATCATTTGAATAAAATTAGAGTATGTACACATGCTATTTGCAAGGAAAGATACCAATATAAACAATCTTATATTTTTCTATAATATATTTGTATAAAGTTTATTATATAAGTAATTCTATTTTAAGTAAATTAAGCTATACTTGTATCAATATGTACAGTAGAACCCCTCTAGTCCGTCACTCTGGTTAATCCAACCGTGGTCGGAGTCGAGAAACTTGTCCCGACTCGTCGGTGACTCACCGTCCGTGGCATTTTTCTGTATTCGTTACAGTATATATTTTACATTGTGTGTACATGTACAGTTTTGTGTGTGTTTTCAACATGTCAGGAGTGAAACGTAAACATGTTACTCTTTCATTAAATGAAAAATTAGCAGTGCTACAAAGACTGGACAAAGAGGAAGATTGTTTATTTTACTTTTTTCTGATAATCCAACCTTTTTTGCGTTCCGACCATACCCCCAGTCCCAAAGGTGACGGATTAGAGGGGTTCTACTGTAT